GAAGTATTTATATGTAACGATGTTTTTAGTGATACTTATTGATCACAATTGTCATGGTCTCTTCTGCAACTTAAGGGCACTCCCTAAATTAACCTACCAGGTATTTGATTCAAAAGCACTCTCCATCTAAGTACTCTCAGTTTTAAGGAATTTTGATATTTTACGTAAGAGGAAACTAATAATTGCTCAGGCCTTAGAAAGGCCTTTCTGATCTTTGAATCTTTAATACAAATATTAGTACTCTTGAGGTTCATAGCATGTTTTCTGTGATATTTCAGTGATTGATGAATAGTTTAGTGTTCCTGAATAAGCTAAAAATTACTACTATAAAATAATCTTTTAAACAAAGACCCACTAGTTCAGTCCTGACTTACTTTTCCTGAATTTTAACTTACTCAAAATGGGTTTCCCTAATAAAAGATTCAGGATCTTAAAGGGTTTCTTTTAGAAGTATTCAGTTTGAAGCTGAATGCTGTCTTCTGATGTGCTAACTGGGATAATTTGAAAAACAGCTAAATACATGAGATACATGCTTTGAATTTCTCGGTCTGAGATTCCCATAGCAAGAGTCTTGGTTTTCATTTTCATTTTAGCAAACTCTTTGTTTTTTATGCTATCCTTGCTTTTTCTCATTTCTTTCAAATTATTTGGGGAGATACTTTGAGAGATACGACTTTGATTAGATCTCTGTCCACCTGTACTTTTGCAGGTGTAAAGAATCCCATAGGGGTTTTTTTGTCCTTTGAAATCAGCTGGATTATTTTGCTGGAAAGAAATGCAAATATCTTTATTTATAAATATAAAATATGTAAATACAAGTATGAGATCTACATGTGATATATTTATATTTGTATAGATATCTCACACAGGTATTTTTATATACATGTCGAAGATACTAATAACGTCAAATGCAGCCACCATTTTTTATGAGAGCAAAATGGGAGGCTGGATTAAGGTCTTAAAGGAGTGGTGTTGAATAGGTCATCCAAGTGTCTCTTTCTATCATAAACCAAAGATAACCAGAAAGGTTGGTCAAGAAAACCTTGTTTGAAAAATTCTTAATTAAATGGGTAAAAGTTTGAGAACAGTTTGTGCCAACTGAACTTGTCTCACCTTGGTTAGATGTGATATTTCTATTCCATTTGTGGGCAAAAGAAAATAATTATTTTGGTTTGTGTTTTTTCTTGTATAGCTCTGTGGAACAGTGGTAACACATACTGGAAACATTAAGGGGTAAGTAATAAGCTTTTTCAGTAAATTCTAGGTCTATTACTACTTTACTATTTTTAAGAAGGTTGCTTTGCTTTCTGCAACATGAGTGCTGTAAGATTAAAAAATAAAAAAAAAATTACTGAACTATATTGATGTTCATATGAAAATCTATACCTTCTTTCTGCTTAAATTACATTATAATTCTGTCTTCATCAAATTTTCCTGAATTATTTTTGTGATTATTTCCAGGCTTTATAAATGAGGCTCAAGATTCTTCTACGGGAATATATCTTTATTCTTCCGAGTGTATTGGCATTTGCATTCATCTTTCAAATCCTGAGCCGCTTGTTGTATGTCACCTGTACTGTAAATCCCAAATGTACTATTGAATGTTATGCCGTAAACTACTGTACACAATATTTTGCAATCAGGGCACTGCCTCTCGAATACCACTGTTCAAGGCTTGAATTAAAATGTTTTTTACTTTTTTACACTGGGCTTTCTACCTTACAATCACAGTATATAAATTAACTAGACTAACAGCCTTTGCCTAGCAATCCTCTGACAATTGGTCAAGTTCTTATCTTAAATTGTTGATTTGTGTTAAATACAGTACATACACGTTTACATAAAAATACATTTTGTACACAGAGACTTTTGTATATACTTTTTTCTTAAAACTTATAAGTGTTTAGTTAAGATTTTAATATTGTATAATACTCTTCACAAATGAATTTACCAGCATGATCAGTGTTGCTACTTGGTGCTCTTGAATGACCACTTCGGACTAAATTTGAAATGTAAAAGCATCCAGTGTCTCCTTGTGTCTCTGAAAAATTCAGTTGCAGTTTTGTTTTCTCTCTCTTTTTTTGGTTATTTAATATTTAGTGGGTTTTGCAGTATAGACCTAAAAGGGATTTTTTGGACAAGTTTGCTTTGGAACTCTTTGGGTGGGAGGGTTGGGAGTGTGTGTGACGTGTACATAGAAGCTAAGCTTTCTAGAGTTCAGTAGTATGAAAAGAGCATGAGAGATGTCATATGTTGGTGATTTTTAGGATGCTTTACGTTCTTTGTCTCGCTTTTCCTCATTCATACTCACTTCTGTAATGTCCTCAATAGTATCTCTGTTAAGCTGTGACTCTTTCGGGGGGCAGTGATACTATTTTTGTTAAATATTATCAAAACATGATTTCCAATATTGAATTTCAAATATGTTTAGCAATTGGAGTTAATGTTTGTACTATCAGAGTTATTGCCTTGAATGTAGGCATACAGTTGCATTGCTGAATTAGTTAACAGCAGAATTCATCAACAAAGCCAAAAGTATCTGTTTAGTGTAAAACATTCCAATGGGTGGTCATTTGGTATATTGAGCTAAACTAGTATATCTTCATATATCAGTACTGTCAACTTTGTTTCCAATAAGGTTCATTGGCTTGAAGTAGGGATAATCCTGTAAATCATTCATATCATTTTAAAGAAATGCTGAAAAGTGATAACAGTCTTTAATCTGGAATAACCTTAAATTTTTCATTTTTTAGGTCATACATGGAAACATTTCTAATTGACAGTATGTAGCATATGTGTATATGTAATGTTCAGAACTGCAGATTTTTAAAAGTTTCTATTTTTAATTTGAGAAAATGTTCCCAGTTCATTTAAATAAAAAACTTGCTTAGCTACCTGATGTTTGATTCTCAATTGTTTTGTTGTGTAGACCTGTCTCAGAAGAGTTGCACTGAGTTAAAATCTTACAAAAATTAATTTTTTTACCCTGATTAAAAATTTCTGCTATATTTTACTTTTATTAATTACTTTAGCTTAAGCAAAGATAAGAGACTGAGAATTGGAGCAGGAAAGACTGAAAGAACATTGACTCTGGGTGAGGGAGCTTCCGACTTCCATAAAGGATGGGATTTATGCAAAGATGGGGTAGGATTCGAGCTAGTGAGTTGTGGAGGATCTCCACATACCCTGCAAGTGTTCAAGGTATTACTGCTTGTGTCTCTTGGTTCTGTAGCTCTGACAACAGAATTAAACATTTGCCAGTTCTTCAGCTCCCATAGTTCACTGCTGGCATCCTAACTCTTAAAAGAACAGTTGTTTTCCACTGATATAACAGACCATGAGCTGTTTCATCTGAAGCACAGGCAGACAGAGGACACAAACATCAGGCAGGAGTGAGATAAACACTTGCCAGTAACACATGAACTGTAATACATAAATATACCAGAGCTCTTGAGTCCAGGCTTTAATATTTGTCCTTATCCTTGTAGTCTGATTTGTTTTCATGATTACACTTTAAAAACTTACAGAACAAGAAATCTGAAACTGGTATAAAGTAACTTTTAAGTAGTTTTGAACTCTTAACAATTATTAGAATGGGAGAGACAAATGCCTTTAGTTTCTAATTTAGGAACTGTCAATGGTGTTGTACTTAAACAAGTGAAATAATACATTTGTTTGTCAAATATTAGGAGGTTTTTCAGTGCTTGCAGTAGGGATTTTAAGTCCTTGAAACAAAGTGTGAGGTGGACAAGATTCTTCTGACTGGCTGGCTGATGGGTGAGAAGACTCCCCAGAAAACAGCAGAAGAGTAAATTGTAAATCTTAAGTAGGCTTGTACCATTGCTCTTTCTCCTAAGACTTGACTGGACAGCCACACCACTGTGAAGCATACATGTCTTCACAAGTGCCTAGTGGGGTCTTACTAGCCAGAAAAGTACTGTCGCTTGCAACAGCATAGGAGGGATTTTTCCTCATGACCTCCTGAATGTCAAGGGAGTTACCATGATTTTCCTTAGCTCTGCTTTTAGTTACTGCAGCAGAAACTGCTAGTACAGGATTCTGCACTGAAATATTTGTATTCTCTTGCCTTTATTTTATGGCATTTTTACAACTCATTTATTACGAACAGGAAAATATCTGTTTGTTTGGGTTTTTTGGGTTTTTTTAAAAGAAGAGTGATAAAGCACTAATATGTCTGACATGCTTTGGGGTCTATTCCCTGCTGCTGAGACCCATAAGCTAGTTCTGTTGTCTTGCTCTGTTGACTGAAAATAGCCCATGGTCTGACAATGATGCTAGAACTTCCAAATGCTTGGTTTATATTTAGGCCTTTAATACCTTATTTTGCTAAAGCTTTATTCCTGGTCTAGCTTAAATATTGCAAGTCTAAAAATCTTTCATGGCTCAAAGAATATGCAATTGCTTCTTCCATGTGTCCCCACTGCATGTCATGTACTGACAAAACGAAGTACTGAAGTTGCATCCTTACTGTGCAAATCCACAGAAACCTTGCTCCACAAATCACCCTTTATTAGTAGGACACATTTATAATCATCCAGATGTAGCTGCATGGATTGGTTTGGCACTTCTATCTTTTTTTACTTCAGTATGGTCTTACAAGCTCTGGCAGGAAGATAGCTATAAAGCAGCTGTAGAATGGAAGATACCTGTTAAAAATCAAATATGACATGTTCATCCTGGATAGGAATGTGCTTCTCAGTTATACAACTATTGTTCTGTATTTAACTGCATCTACAAGATTTGTCTTGTTACCTTCTTGGGAGTTCACAGGTTGTTTGACACTCCCTCAGGGTATAATTTATGGGCACATGCCTACTGAAGTGTAATTTATTATTTTTATTAAAAAAAAAAAACTCAAACAAACCAAAACACCTTACATCCCACATTCTGTTGGAAAGAGGCTTCTTTGTGCACCAAGCCTTTAAATTGTGAGCAGCCACTTACTTATTGCTTTCAGTTTTTCTGATCGTATTGCTCAAGGATCTTGGTCAACTCCTCTCACCATGAAGAGCTGTGCTCTTCTTTTCCTGGTAGTGATCTGTGGCATGGGAGGACTGGGAGAGAAGCTGAAGCCAAAGAAAAGAAGCAATGGTGAAGAAATCCATTTTCGGACTAAAACCAAAGATGTTTGCACAATGAGCATGAGTGGGGACGAGGAGATGAGACTTAGAATTGAATGCAAAAGCCAAGGCATGTCCTACTGGTGTGAATTCACTGGCAAGCCATCAATCTGTCGTGCTTTCAGAAACAACCCAAAGATTTACTGGAATCGGATCGCCATGGAACTCAGAAAGCTCCCGCACGCCTGCGAATCCACACAAGTGTTGAAGACCACCATGTGTCAAAAGGCTCCCACAGAGGCTCTCATGAAGCAAATAGCTGCTGGTATGGAGCCAGAAGATCTAGCAAATGAGGATAAATTGCTCCAGAAAACTTCTATGACAGAAACAGGAGAAAGCTCTGTTAAGACAATAGGGAAGCCTCCAATACTACCTCTTATAAAACCAGCCCAATATGGTCAGGGGTCTGAAAATGAAACAGAAGCAATGAAATTGGCACGGGAATATTGCTGGGAATCTCTGCATGATTTCTGCTCCTACATTATTGGCATCTTTAGAGGTTAAGGATTTACTTCAGGTAAAGCTCCCATCTTGAAGCACAGCAGAATATACCTAAGAGTAATCCTGTTGTAGTTTTGTTTTATTTTGATCTTGAGGGTTCTCTCAGGGGTGTAGACAGGGAGATTCTAGGCTCACTCACTAAAATCTAACGTGGCAAAACCTGTACTGTGGCTTCTGAGATGCTGGACACCTTAAACCCCAGCAATGGCTACTAGTTCAGGACTCTCCAACAGCCTCCTGTGCGGTCTTTAGTATGTACTGAGATGTTTGTCCTATCTGTTAGTCATCCTATGGTATTTCAGTTCTAACTGAACTGGGCTTGTTTTCTGCCTTGTCATTCCTTCCCTCTTGTGCTGACTTTTGGGTTTAAGCCAGTGAAGTGAGATAAATAGCAAATATATCAGATCCAATAACAAATGCATCAGCTAGAGCAATTTAAAACTACATTCAGAAATAGAGAGGTTAAAGCTTATTAATCAAAACTGCTAGTTAATAATTAACCTTTTTAATTTTAAAAATTAGTTCGTAAAGAACTTGTAGAAATGCATAAAACCAAAGGGACTGTCTTGATGTGCGGGTCTGTTTCTGTAGAGGCGATAGGGGATCCTATGCAGGCGCTTGTCTGGTAAGTCTCAGGTTTTCGGCCAGGATTTAAAAAGGCAAAGCCCTCACAGAAGGGGTTGGTTTTATACCCACTTCTATTTTGGCTCAGAGAGAAAGCTGGTGACTAAACCTGGCAAACTTTTGACAGAAATGGGAATATATGCAGCATGAGCCAGTAAGTGTTTAGGCTGTTAATGATCTTAATTGTGCTTAATACAGTAACGTGACTAATTTTTTTTCTTTTTTTTTTTTGTTTTGCAGAACAAAATTTTAACAGCTGAAGAAAGGTCCTTGCTGTAGTTTAATAATTTAGATGTAAGAATTTTGGTTTAAAAATGAGTCGTCTCTGTAAATCTTGTAGCTGTTTTGTCTTTGCACCCCTAAAATGAAACTTTTTAACAGCACTGAAAAATGCATGAAACTGGAGTGAGTGTACTTAATGTGTTGGGATGAGCTACTTTCCTAGGTCTGTTACACACTAAGGTGTACTGCATTTACATAACCAGGGTTCTACTTTTGAGTCCTGACCTGGAATAGGTTTTTGTGTGTGCTGATTCGCTCCAGTTTGTTAGACATGAAAGCTGTAAATGATGCTACAGTTACTGCAAACAATAAAAACAAGGTTTTTGAAAACATACTCAGCGTGCTTTCTTAAAATTTTAAGTGATGCTACTTGTATAAAGTCAGGGTATTTGATACTTGTTTCTTAAGAGATTGCTGATAGAATGTGTAAGAGAAGTTATGGGACTGAGTCATTACTTTCCCACTGTGAACATATTTTCATTAATATTAATATTTTCAATGTTATTACATTTATATTAAAATTGTAAGTTTCAGCCAGCAGGGGAAAAAAGATTGGAGAAATAAGAGTACTGTAAGAATACATTTGTAAACAGCAGATTAGAAGTGTTCATCTGTGATGCATGTGCAGAGTTCAGTGTTCACAGAATGTTGGGGATTGGAAGGGAC